TTCAAGAAGAAACTTTAGGACACTTGTTCGAATGTTTAGCCACTAAAGAAATTAGAGAGGATATATGGAGAAAAGCAAAGGAAAAGATCAATCGATATATTAGTAAAGAAATCAAAAACAAAGAAGAAGTCCATACTGCAACCAATAATTGGACAAGTAAATGGTTGAACGAGATTCAGCGATTTGATAGAAACCTTTTCAATACTATTTGTGGATACATAGAAGAGAACAAAACTACTTCCTTAAAGAATTACCTCAAAATACAACTCAAGATTCCCCCGACAGTCACACAAAGCATAATCAGTAAGCTTTGTTATAAAATGAAGAAAAATTTCAAGAAGAACATATAGAATAGCTGCTATAAAAAAGTTATAGAGTGGGAAAAGAAGCTGAATATTACTGAAAAAGACAAACGAATCAAAAGACATGGGTGCCGATCCATCATGCAGGTCATACAAGAACAGGAAGATGAATTTATACTTGCAGAAGATCCAGAACAAGAAGTGTTTGAAAGAAAGGAGGAAACAAAGTATATAGAAATTATCAAGGATTGGATTTGTTATAGAAGGAAAGGTTTGATTTTTAACTGCAGTTGGAATTTAGAATAATCTACAGTAATGACATGTAGGCAATAATTTTATTGACTAGAGGATTTATTCAAGTCAGTAAAGGAGTGAAATATCATTTCCTAAGTTGCATCTAAAGAAATAGTTTTTTGACGACGGATGAGTTAGTATGTGAAAGTCAAAATAATTTGTAAATATCTAATATATATACAATAAAGACAAGTCATACTGACCTGACTACAGGTTAAAATATATATATATATATATGATTTTTAATTAAATTTATTAATTATTTTATAAAAGTTATATCTATTTAAAAAACTATAATATTTTAAATTAAGTTTGTAAAAATATAAGTTTAGATCTATAACTATAATATTAAAAATATTATATAAAATTTTTTTTTTAATTTAATTAATTATAAATATTCTATGAATTTTATTATTTTAACAAACTTCAAAACTATATTCTTTTAACTTAGAATATTTTAATTTAATATTATACTTAAATAAAAATTAATTAATAAGGATTGATTCAATACTATAAGTAATAATAAAAAAAGACTTTTAAAAAATCAAAATAAATAATATTGATGAATATTTGAAAAAATATTTAATTTCTATCAAATACAATATATTATATTTCAAATAGATTTAGATTAATAAAAACAATAGATTTTGTAAATATAATATTAACTGGTTTAATCTTATTCTTTATGATTAATTTATTAATAATTAGATTTATGAATATAATAGATCTAATTAGAATTATTGCATTAATTTGCATATATAGTATATAAAATAATTGATATGTATATTTAAGATCTAATTATTCAATAAAGAAACTTGTGATTTAACAAAAAATAAAATAAAATAAAATATACTATATACAGTATATTAACATTAAAATTAAATTTTTAAGTGATAAATTGAATATAATTAAAGTTAATAAAAATTTTATTTACTATATTCATTAACACTCTTCAATTTACTTACAGTTATATTTTAATGCTACAATTTGTCGAACAGCGATCTTAACATTTTCATTGCCTTCTTTTTAAGATGCACGATAATAACCGTGATAATAATTAGGTTTTTAATATTACGCAAAACGGTGTCTCCATTAACGACGACCGCACCAATTACAAAGACTATGTTCACATATCTCCGTATCTTCACGGCGATTAGTGCTCGATTTGGAAAATTGAGCCTCACCGGGAGGAACGAATACCTTTCTAAGTCAAAATATGCGTTTACGGAAAAAGTTGAATGAATAGAAAAAGAGGAAACCCATCGAGTAACCAGTATCGTCACACTGCACGATACACGCATGTATAAAGTATATACAGGTTCGGGGATATAAAATCGTGTTATTCCCTGCTGCGCATCAGGAGGCTTGCACATGTTCGTAAATGGACGGCGTCTTCTGCCACCCGTAGAATCTACATCGAACAATAATTGATTTCTACAATGTAATAAGTTGAAAGAGTCCATTTTTAAAAGAATTATGAGATTTAGCACATATGTGAAGAGGATGTGAAAAAATTTTACATGCCATACATCATCATTCGCCTTCTAGCATACATTCATACAAGTATGTGACACACATAAACACATTTAATATCAATCTCAGAGTCAATCGATTTCTTCTTTTGAAGTTTGAACTTTATGCACTCAAGTATTCTTGGGAAATTTGGCGTGCGTTCAATTGCGTCACTATCCCGGTGACATATTGGTAGGAGTTGAAAGATACGATACATAAATAAAACCTGTTTGTGTCTATTATTTTCCCACCTACACCATTATGTATTTCAATAACACTCAAATTGAACTTAACTTTGACCGATTTTTCTCTTGTTTCGTACACGATTCTTCATCGGTTGTTTGATCTTACCGCACAGTTCACGCACATCTTTGAGGCCACAAAAAGATTCCGTCTTTCCAGCAACGACGAAAAAAACGAAACAGACTTCAGTTTTAAATTATTTTCGGAGCAAAAAAAAAAAAAATGGAAATGGAAATGGAAATGGAAAATCTTAACAAATCTTCAACAGCAATGCGACCCTTATCCTCAATTTCCACAAGCTCCTCCAAATCGTTCAAGGTGATTCGGCATCAACGACAACGCAAATCACGTAAACGCAACGTATTAAATCCAACTTTGGATAATTTCTATAATATTTTGCGTCGCACTCACGCGGATCAAAGTGTAAAGTCGGCGCGAAGTTGGGCAAACGAATATGAGAAATATAGGAAATCAGTCATACTCGATGAGATTCGCGCGGACAATATCGAATCGAGTGGAGGGATCGATTCGGTGGAACTTTTAAGTTTCATCGTGTAACTACTTCGCCATCGCATCATCTACTGCACGTGTCCCTTTCGAACGCCTTCCCTAATCTTAGTTTTAACATGGAAATTAATGCTCGACATTCCAAGTGCAATGCCTAATTCCCTCGTAGATAGTATCCTCTGTTTCTTCTTCATTCTTCTCTTTATTTGATTAGACATCGAAAAATCAATCATTGTAAATTTTCCCGTTGTATTATATCAAAAAAAAAAAAAAAGAAGTAAAGTATTTCTTAAATACCGATACTTTATGTGTTGATTTACATACGGGATGCAACAGTATAGCCAATTGCGTGGCTCTTGTAAAAGATGCTCCGTTCTCTTTAAAAGAGAAACCAAAATTGCAAAGGGAAATAAAAAAATGCATCTACGGTATTTCGGCTTCTATTCTAAAGGACGAAATACTCCAAGTAATGTACCTATATTCACGTGACTTATATGACCTACGGCTTCGAATGATTGGCGCGCGTTGCACATTGTCGAAATTTACCTAATTTGGAGGAAGTTACTTTGTCAAGAAACCGTATGCCGTTCACGTTCAACATATTGCTGAGAAAGATAGTGGACAATGCTTTCAATTTGATTTTACGCAAAACATAATCGGTCGAGCCAAGGATTGAACAGAACAATGAACACCTGCAGATTACAACACGAGACATCGCTTCATTACGTCACTGCCCTTCTCAATTATGATGGCAAATCTTCCTTATGGTTTACGCATTCGGCATTTCGATCACCAGCTTTATCTTAAGATGCGAATGTAATCACCTCATGATCACATTTATTCATCGAATCAGCCCCGTTGAACCGATGCAATGCGGTGATATCATTACACCGTTGGGCATTTACCGAGCTTACGCCCACATTCAACACGAACATTGTTCATTCCATATACATCTGTCTGCATTAGTCAATTGTCGATTGTATCACAATTGTAATCACACATTTATAGCGACGACTGGACAAAAAGCAATGTAATGTAACGGTTGATCGTTTGTGTATTTACGAAATCAATTGAACTGACGTCGTCTCATCGCGACTTCTTATCAGATGAGACAACGACTACTACATCACAAACTTCAAATGCGTGAAACAGCCTTGGTCATCATCAGTCACTTAAACCGCCGAAGGAAACTTTGAACTTTGGGCGATTCGTTACAGTGCGGATAGATTCCGCCAAAACTGTATCGAAACCTTCCCGGGAGTATGGTCAAAATCATTATATCATAGACGACACGAGGGATCGGGATTATTCAGAGATATTTTTAATCCATCCTCCCCCTCCCGGTTCGTTTGTATTGATCAGTAGAGCTTTAGAAAAACAGAGTTAACTGCTTTTTTTTTTTTTTTTTTTTTTTTTTTAAGACAAGGTACTTCGTGATACACAAATCACTTGACTTTTTTTACATAATACACTCGGTCGATCCATTATTTTCTCTCTACAATGGAAACATTGCAAGAACTTCACTCCAAAAACTTACTTCCGTCGCTGATTGTTTTCGACCTTGACTATACGTTGTGGCCGCTATGGTAAATTCCTCGGAAATATCGTCTCATCTGATTGCTATTACAGGATTCAAATGACCATTCATTTCTAGGATCGACAGCATCTCGGGTCCTCCTTTTAAAGCGGACCCATCTAGACCTTATGCTGTCACCGACAGGTGGCTTTCTTCGCTTTCACCTCATTTCTAAAGATGTGTCTCTAACGAATTTCCTTGTGTCCATAGATTCGGTCATCCCATTCGTTTGTATCATGACGTCCCAAGGATTTTTCACTTGATAAGGTGCCTTCCGGATATTAAAATTGGAGTGGCTTCTCGTACTGGTAGAGATGACTGGTAGTTAATAATTATCGTTTTATATTTGCAGCGACTCTCTCTCCGTGCGACCATGTTTAACCTTCGATCTCTTGCTGCAAAACTCGAAGGGCTCGGAAAGTGATGTCTATAATGCCTTTTCCCGAAATAAATGACGAGGGTGAAATCATTGCTCCGAAAAACATCATCAAAGGCTCAAAAAATAACTACCGCACTTTTGCTGACGCCGTTGATTACGTCGAAATATACCCAGGATCAAAGATAACTCACTTTCGATCCATGCACGAGAACTCGGGGTTTTCATTTGATAAAATGATATTCTTTGACGACGAGACAAGAAACAGAGATGTGGAGTCGAGATTTGGTGTACACTTTGTGTACGTTCCCGACGGCATCAATCTGGAGTTGTTTTATGACGCGCTTAAGGAATTTGCGGCCAAAAAGAAGATTTAATCTCATTTTTCTTACGTAATCTTTGTCATGTGTCATCCACCAATAAAGTTGTGACCAATAAAATTCTTCGGTGTTCTCGCTTGTCGTTTCATTCATTCCACAGTGCATTCCTTAATGTCTTCCTCGACGACAAGGTACAACCCTCCAATACCACTCAAACCCACACCGATACAACGAAATGGTGTGGTAAAGATAAGAGACTTGCAACCATGGATCCGTGGTTTCGACCTGACCTGCATTATCCTGCAACGTGGTAGGCATTTCACTTAAAAAAAAAAAAAAAAAACTCTCTCCCCGAAAGTTTCTGTTCAATAACGACTCCCTTGTCTTCCAGTCTCCCAACGCACCCTGAAAACCATGACCGAAGTTGAGCTTCATAGTTTTCTTGTTGCTGACGAAACGGCTGTATGTACTTTGGTCATCTGGGAAAACGGTCAATTCTTCAAAAGCGGTGACGTCGTTCAAATAAATCAAGGGTATGCAAGATTTGTCCATAATGGCGAATGTTTCTTCGTTTGAATTCTTTTGTTTTTTAATAGTTCTTTCACAGGGAAACGAGGATTCACGAAGAAACATTCGAACTTACTGTGAACAGCAATTTTGGAAAGATAAGGGTTGTCGATTGGTAATTTTTCGTGAATTTGAGTTCAATTGACGGACAATGGAACCTCTGATCAATCGTTTTCCTAACTTTCATTTATGGATCAAAGGGATGTTTTGCCTTACGTCGAGAGTGAGTCGCCCAATCTATCAAAATATCTATGGGTTCAGAACGATAATAAGTTTGTACGTGTCTTCTCCGCATAACATTTTTCACAATCGTCGACCTCACGACTGACTGAGTTACCTCCCCTTTTCAAATTTCAGACGCCAATGACGAAAGATCGTATTCCGGTGGACCCCGTCTCCTTTGAACAACTAGATCCACAACTTTATACACCCGCGCAAGAGGCCTCTCAATTGACAGCGAGTTTAGAAATAAAACAAGAAGAGAATGTTAAAATTAAACAGGAGGACGAAGAGATGGGTAATACGACCTTCACCGAGGTCAAACAAGAGCAATCACGCATTCAGCCCTGGAAATCACAGATACAGCAGATACAACAACAACTGCCTCCATCATCTCAACCGGGTGACCGTCGCCTATCAAAGCGTAAGGCATCTTACCTGAAGTGGGAGAATCGAGATCGAGATCAACAAGACAGGGGTGACAGGAGTCGGAATCAAGATAGACGTGGTGGCAGACAACAATCTCGGAACAGAGGTGGCGGCCGCGATTGGCTTGATCGCGGTGGCAGGGATCGGGAACGGGACCGAGAGCGTGAACGGGAATACAATCGGTCCCACACCGATCTCGATAGACCCGAGGAAGGTGAATGGGTTGACATTGATTTCAGTGCAATTTCAACGGGCTTCAATCGAGGAGACAATCCGCCCGTGAGAAAGCAATCGAGAATAGAGTAGATCTCCGATTTCTCGAAATTTCGATAACGATCGGCGTTAATACTAAATTATTTGTTCTTTTGTGATCGATCCTTTCACATAAATAAGGCGATCTCTATTGCCTTATATCATCGCCGTGCATATTTGTCTTCCCGTAGTCTGGAAGTCTGACGGCGGATTATTTATATTGGATTCTTGGGGACCAAAATCTCGAGTCAGTTCTTATCTGACTTACCAACGTCCTTTGTATCCAAAGACAAGAGAACATGGTATCGTATATGAACGTTTCGCATGTAAATTAACCACAATTTTAGAAAGAACTAATTACATTAAAAATCACATTCGTGCATCGGGCTTAACCTGAACCACATTCAAGAGGAAATATATTTATATATATATTTTTTCAAGGCGGGTAGAAGCACGTTCACTTGGAGGTTGCTGAATTTCAATGAATAAGTTTCAACAATAGAGCAGTAGAATCGGTTAGATGTTCATTAGGTAATTAGGCCTCACAGGGTTTATAATTCTTATCACCAAAAAAAAAAAAAAAAATTTTTTTATTTTATTTGTAATTATGATAATAAAAGTAACGTGATAAACATAAATTGGGAGTATCGAAGGAATTATAATGACGCCGCATATAATATTATTCCCAATTATATGGTGACATAGTATAAGGTTAATTAGAAAAAAAAAATTTTTTTTTTATTCTTTTATTATTATACAGATTAACTTTACCAAATCTCAGTGAACCGAGTTTTTCTCGACTAATTGGAAATCACCGTTTTTGCCTTGAGAAACAAGTGCTATGCAATGCAAGTTGACAAAAGTTTATGTAAAATAATAAATGCATGTATATAGACGCGGAAATAATATTGCAATGACTCCCCTGTTTTCATATATCAAAAAACAAAATTCAAATTTCCGGGAATCTTAAATTATACGAGACTTAAATATGAATGTTCAAGAATCCATGCTCATTAAACCCAATCCTCCCACACACGTCTATATAAAACTCGCGTCACACACAGTACAAAGATTTTCACGACAAAAAAACCTCTCTACAATACAGTATCCCCAGCATTGGTAATCCTATAAATAATTCAATCCAAAAGATCGCGTTTCCCAGCCATTTCCTATCTTTTATCGCGGGCAACCTGCCTAGAGCGATCAACGGCAACTGTAACATTTGCATGAAGAACATATACATTCTAATCTTTTTTGATACCACGACCATTACTAATTCGTGAACCAATGAGGAAAGGAAGAATGTCATAAGCGTTGCGTCTCGCTTAGATAATTTATAGGACTCGATGGAATATTGGTAGACGTGTCTCAGGAGGAAATGGTGTACTGGTTTATTCCATTTCCTGGCGTATTCGTCCCATGTTGTGCTAAAGTTATGTGAGTAAGCATAACACTTGTGAAAGCGCAAACCGAGATTATTTAATTCAATTTACCTATTCCACCAGTCATCGTAAAATTCCCTATCCGCAAATCTTCAAAATGTGTTAGAAACGACAATCAAAATAACATCCACAACAATAATCCGTTCTTCTTTGTCGGCTTTTATCAATCATACCTTGTCAATTCAGCGAAAGCATTGCAAATGCCCTCAAAAATTATATAAAATATTAACAGGTAATTCACCATAAATGGAAATAACATTTGTAACATGCACTTGTAGATTGATGTTGAAACATTGGGCAACACGGGGATGATGTATTCTTCCGTGTTGACATATAACAAAAAGAATGTGCCAAATATCGCAGCCACCTTCTCAAATACATACCACGGACGTATT